CATTGTTCATTAAGAACGATTTAAAAAATCATTTCTTTAGAATAATAAAATCATCGTTCATTAAGAATGACATCATTCTTATTGAACGATTTAAAAATATTATCTCTTTGGGATGATAAAATCATTATTCATTAAGAATGATTTAAAAAATCGTCCCTTTAGGACGATAAAATCATTGTTTATTAAGAACGATTAAAAAATCATCTTTTTAAGACAATAAAATCATCATTTACTAAGAATAATTAAAAAATCGTCTCTTTATAATGATAAAATCATCGTTCACTAAGAATGATTTAAAAATATCATCCTAAAGTGATGATAAATCCTCATTCTTATTGAACGATTTAAAAAATTGTCCTAAAGGGATAATAAATTTATCATTCATTAAGAATGATAAAAAATCGTTTCTTTTAGAATGATGATCATTTGATTTGAATAATTCATCATCATTCTAATCAGATAATGCAAAATCATCTGATTGGAATGATTAAACTATCATCCCAAAGGGACAATATACTATCATTCAAATCAACATCATCATTCTAATCAGATGATGAAAAATCGTTTGATTGAACGATCAAATCATCGATGCCTAAGAAACAATACAAATCATTCAATAGAAACGATATTTCAATTGATAATATAACAAACATCTAATTAGCTAGAACAATTATGAATAAATTTCAGATTAATAGAAAACTTTCAGATTAATCTAAAAAAATTTTTTCCTTTTTTTAACCTTTTCCTTTTTTTTTTGTATTTTTTTTCTAATCTTGAAGATTTTTACTATTTTTTTTTAGGAAAATTCTTATTTTGGAAATGTAGTAAATCATTCTTTAAGTGAAAATTTACTATTTTCCTTATTTTTTCTTTTTTTTTTTTTAGGAAAATTTTCATTTTAAAAATAAGTAAATTGGAAACAAGTTTTTGGATGGATTTTCCTTTCTTTTTCTTATTTTTGTAGGAAAATTCTCATTTGGAAATATGATAAGTAAATCAGAAACAAGTTTTTAGATGGATTTTCCTTTTTTTTCTTGTTTTTAAAGAAATTTCTCATTTTGAAAATAAGATCAGTAAATCAGAAACAAGTTTTTGGATGGATTTTTCTTTGTTTTTCTTATTTTTTAAAGAAATTTCTCATTTTGAAAATAAGAAGTGTAAATTTGAAGTGATTTTTGATTGATTTTCCCTTCTTTTTTTTTTTTAGGAAAATTATCATCTTGGAATTAAGGTAAGCAAATTATTGGTGAATTTTTAGGTGAATATTTACTATTTTCTTTTTATTTTCTTATTTTTTTTTTAGAAAATTTCTTAAAGTAAGCAATCGTTTGAACTTTTTGAGTGAAAATTTACCATTTTCCTTTTTTTTCTTATTTTTTTTTTTTAGAAAATTTCTTAAGATAAGCAAATTGTTGATGACTTTTTGGGGAAAATTTACCATTTTTCTTTTCTTTTTTCTTATTTTTTTAGGAAATTTCTCATCTTGGAATTAAGATAAACAAATTGTTGGTAAATTTTTGGGTGGAAATTTAGGACCTGAACTATACTAATAGAACTCACAAATGTAGTACAAACACGTAACTAAAATTATATTGTATGGTATAATTCGGTTAATATTAATGCTAAAAAGATGACATTACTACCATTAAATTCCTTTCGGTTAGACGAATCCAATGGTATAATTTTTATTAAAATTGAATTAACAGTTATGTAGATAATGGGGTATGTAGGATAAGTAAATTTGTAAAAATAAGCACCTTTTAGCAAAGTTTACATATAAACTCTATGCAAACTCAAATGTGAGTTATTTAAGTATAGTTCAGGGTCCTGAAAATTTACCATTTTCTTTTCTTTTTCTTTTTTTTTTTATGAAATTTCTCATCTTCAAATTAAGGTAAGCAAATCGTTAATAACTTTTTGGGTGAAAATTTATTATTTTCCTTTTTTTTTCTTATTTTTTAGGATAAATCAATCGAAAGTAGAATTTTTGATTCATTTTTTTATTTTACTTTATTTTTTATATATATTAAAAGTGTTTCTTTTTAAGGATTTTAAATTTATCAATTATGTAAAATAATAAAAATATAAATTTAATAAATTGAAATAAATTTAAATTTGTTATATTAGTTCTGATTTGCAATTTTAGGTTAATTTTAGATGGTTGAATTAAGTTGATTTTTAGCAAATTATGTCTGATTTGTATCTGATTTATGGTTGATTTGTGGTTGATTTAAGTGGTTGAATTAGGATGATTTTTGACCGAATTATATCTGAATTATTATGCTGAAATTGGACATATTGGCGCTAAATTGTGCCAATAGGAATTAGACCAAAATTTATTACAATTCAGCCATAATTCAAACACAATTCAGATATCTGATTTTTGGTTGAATTGTATTATTTTGACCAGTATTAAGTTAATTAAATATTATATTTTTTAAAGTTTAATATAGAAATGATAATGAGCAATTATAGTCAGTTCACAGTCAATCAATAGTCAGTCAGAAGCCTTTAGTCAATCAACCAGTTGACTAACCAGTTTTGCTAACTGGTTGACCAGCCTATTTAACAATAATATAATTTAAATTCTTGATTGATAATTTTATTTATGCTTTAAATAATACTAATATATTATTTGTTAAAATTACTATATTTATATATGAAGTCAAAATGAAAATCCAAAAGTTGAAATATTTCAACTTTTGGATATCAAAGTTAAAATGAAAAGTAAAATGGTTGAAATGACATCATATCACATGATTTTCATATATAAAAAAATTCTAAAAAATAAAAACATGATTTTAGTCAATAGTATTCTGCTTTGTATGAATCAACTACTTTTCAATTTCTTGTGACTAGTCTGATCTAATAAGTTAACATCTATTAATTTCAGATTAGCCCATCTTGAGATATTTGCAATCAAATTTTGAAATCCATACTTCTTTATTTAAAGTAGAATTTATTGATTTATAATATCAGCTAATAATACAATTGTGATTATCTCGTGATTTGATGATCTAAAATCAGTGATTGTTAGCTCATTAAATCCGTTTAATCATGAGGAATTGAATGGTAGTTATTTCATACAAATTGGAGCGGTATTGATTGAGATTATATATTTTTTGTTTTTTGTTTTTTTAATATAAAAAATTATGTAATATGATGTCATTTCGACTATTTCACGATGTTAGCCTCTAATAGTCAAAATAATTTCAATCAAGGGTCTCGCCGCCTTATCTCAGTTGGTAACAACTGAGACCTATTGTAGGTTACACTGCAATAGACCCTAGTTCAGCCCCTGGCTAAGGCAGATCGTAATAATTTAATTTACGGGATTTACCAGTTCGATTCCAGGAATGAATTTCATAGGTTGCGTACAAACTATGTACATTGAAGATCATGAATTTGTAGAATATGGTGACCCTGAGATGTCTATAAGGTGTGATGGTAACTACCACCAAATGTTGTAAGTTCGCTTCGTCTAGATCCATACCATCCTGACAACAGGTAGTGGTAATAAATATTCTCATCTATCGTGAACCAATTGAGTTTGGAATTGATAGTGAGGGCTGGTCTGTAATGGACAAGTGCTGCATCATCTGCAAAGGGTACCCATGAGGGTAGATCAATGGTAGGCATTGTATAACATGGATTGAACAATAGTCATAGGTTATAGGTGGTTGATATTGCACTGTCTTCAATCATCGTGGTGTCTATATCACAACTAGGATTTGGAGGCCTGGATTCGATTCTTGGGGTGATTTTGACGTATAGTGAGGCAACTATGATATAGGCTATCATCTTAGGTTGTTCTTGATCCTCTTTCCAGTAGTTGTGATGAATAGTGAATGATAGCTGGGTATCATATCTCTCTACCCTGAGGGTTCATTATTTTGGCAGTCTACTCAGATATTGATACTCATTCACCTAAGTTTAACGCCAACCCACACTAGTTTAAAATATAGTAAAGGGGGGTTAATAGTAGAATTAAACATGTTGTAAGACATATCATTCTGTTGAAAGGTATGCATACAAATATATTACCACTTGTGCATGCCTAGTAAAAGTATCAAAAAAAACAAAAAAAAATGATTTTGACTATTTTGACTATTTCAGATATCCAAAATGATCCATTTTGACTTCATGTATAATGTCAGCCTTACTATCAAAACCGCACTTTTGTAAGAAGAATTTACCTTTTTGATTTCAGAACTAGAAAAATATTTTTTGAGACATACCTGAACATCAATTAACACACAATCAGACAATTTAAGAAAACTAGAAGTAAAATTCTCTTCTACTGTAATTTTAATCATAATTGGTTCTCCTAAATATTCCTTTTCCTTCAGATCTTCCTTGCCATATCCAAGAGCCTCTACAGTACTCCTTTTCTTGAAAACATTTTCAGATTTTACTCCTATTTTTCCATAATATTTTCACTTTAGAATTTCTTCTTTTGTTTCAAACTTTCTTATCATTCGCTCCTACATCCATTCGAATATATTAAGATGGTAAGTCTTTTCCATAATAAAATGCTAATCATAGTCAAAATGATTAAAGTTAACTTGAATATCAGGAGCAAATACTCACTAGCAGATGGCGAACGCTTTCAACAGATTTTCTTGATTTTCACATATGATTGTAATTCATTGTGAATCTAGCTCTGTCTCAACATCTACAAAACAAATTTATTTTAATGGTTTCAGATCATCCTTCTAATATAAAGTCATACAAATCATAAAAATATTATGATTCAGATCAAGAATTTCAGCAAATTCATTTAACTCTTATAATTGGGTCTCTATATCCCATATGAGAGCGAGAGTACAATTTCTTTTGAGTACTGAAATAGGAAAATGATCACTTATTATTTTTAGGTCTTCCACTGGCCAAAAATCTTTTTTAGAAGTATAGAATGCATATAGGTATAAAGGATTAGTCCCTTTTTTGTAAATGTATTTGCCTAGCATTGACTACCTAGAAAGTTGAAGGCTATTCTCTTAGACTACTTTATGGTGAAATAAATATAAATCATCTGATGCAGTTTTAAAATTATTATCTTGAATAGCTTTAATGGCTGTTTTTCTTTTACCAGTACCGCTTGTATAAAGTTGTAAATATGTTTTTTTTTCTTCATGGTATCTGTAAAAAGGGAAAGCTTTAATATGCTCTATTTTTAAAGTCTTTACAAGGTCGGAAAGAATATCTCTTACTTTTTTTTCACAATCATCTGGAGACTTCCCATCTGATACAAAAATATCAAAGAATACTCATATACCTAAAAGTATTATTACAGCTATTTGCTCATTAATAAGAGAGCCGTAAAATTATAATGCATAGTGATATTTTTCATTTATTTTTTCTGATGTTCCTTCATTCTTAATAGCCATGAATGGAATTTCTTAGCAACTGTATAAAGCATCATTAAGAATTACGATTAATCCCTCATCATTTTCTGCAACTATATCATCTTGTGTTGGAATACCAGTCAAGTATTTTCGTCAGAATAGCAAATTACCTGGCCTTATTTTTTCTTTTTTGATCTCTGGACAAAAAAGAGTGAGGGCGTCTGAAACTCTGAAAACTCAAATTAAGTATTTTTTCTCAAGCAATTTAAGATAATTTATAATTATACCAAAATTCGAGGTATATTATTCACAAAAAAAAAATTTAAATGAAAATAATTTTCTGATATTATTCATTGATACTGACAAATGGAAGGTGGAAAAAAGGTAGCATCCTGGAATTTTTATTATTGTCTATATATTCTTAGAACTAGAAAAGTGTGCAATCGAAGATGCTATGATCTAAAGGAATATAAAGTCTATTGAAATTCTAGGCAGATTCTTTGCAAAGAATGCGGTGAGCAAATAAAATCCAAATATGACTATTATGATACGTATGTAAAAAACATAGATTAAAGGAATATTATCATCAGAAAAGCAGACTAAGTTGGCTTCGACAGAAATACTGATAGGTAAACAAAATGATATAACTTGTCACTAGTGTCACTAGAGAAAAAGCTGGTAACAGAAGCTAATGATACAAACTATACATGAAGTCGAAATGAAAACCCAAAAGTCGAAATGTTTCGACTTTGGAGGTCAAATTCGAAATGAAAAGTCGAAATAGTCGAAATTACGTCATATCACATGATTTTTATATATAGAAAAAACAAAAAAAAACAAAAGATGTACGATCTCGGTCA